TGCGCAGCAGCAGCAAACGTCTCCTCGAGGACTTCTTCTCCCCCAGGCCCGATGCATGCAGCAGCAGACAAAATATAAAAACGCAATGCATCGCTGCTGCTGCTGCTGCTGCTGTTGCTGCTGCTGCTGCTGCTGCTGCTGCTGCTGCTGCGTTTGTTGTTGTTTTTGTCGTCGTCGGCTTCATCACCGCTGTCGTTCTCGTTGCTGTTGCTGCTGCTGCTGCTGCTGCTGCTGTTGCTGTTGCTGGTATTCTCTGATGACATCTCTTGCTGCTGCTGCTGCTGCTGCTGTTGCTGCTGCTGCTGCTGCTTCAGTATGTCGTTGAGGGTGCGAGCAACAGCAGCAGCAAGATGAGACTTACCGACGCCAGGGGGCCCCCACAGCAGCACCCCGCGTGAGCAGACAAGGCCATTGCTGCTGCTGCTGCTGCTGCTGCTGCTGCTGCTGTTGCTGCTGCTGCTGCTGTTGCTGCTGCTGCTGCTGTTGCTGGTTGCTGCAGTATTTGTGGTTTGTACTTTGCCCTCTGCGCGCTGCTCCTCACAGTCCACCTCCATCTCTTGCTGCTGCTGCTGCTGCTGCTGCTGCTGCTGCTGCTGCTGCTGCTGCTGCTGCTGCTGCTGCTGCTGTTTGTTTTCAAGAGTAGGATTAACAAGAAAAGGAAGAATAATATATTTATTTATTTTTTCTTTTATTGCGGAGGAGACGCCAGGAAGAGACTGCAGAGACACCGCAGCGAGCTTGCTGGGAGCAACTGCTGCTGCTGCTGCTGCTGCTGCTGCTGCTGCTGAACCGGGGGCTGCTGCTGCAGCACTGCGCTGCAGGGACCCAGAGGCCTGAACATCAGCTCGAGCAGCAGCAGCAGCAGCTGCTGCTGCTGCTGCTGCTACTGCTGCTGCTGCTGCTGAACGCCGCGACGCTCGCCGCCGCTGCTGCGCCTTGCGGGCCTCTAGATCAGAGCCATCTGCTGCTGCTGCTGCTGCTGCTGTTGTTGTTGCTGCTGCTGCTGCTGCTGTTTCATTCTGCTGCACCTCCCCTGCTGCACGGGGAGCTGCATCGCGCTGAGAGGTTGCTGCTGCTGCAGCAGCAGCAGCAGCACTCTTCTGCTGCTGTTCCTGCTGCTGCTGCTGCTGCTGCTGCTGCTGTTCCTTGACCTTTCCGCGTTGCTGCAGCTGCTGCTGCAGCTGCTGCTGCTGCAGCTGCTGCTGCAGCTGCTGCGCAGCAGCATGAAGGGAGCCTTTGACGCCCGCGTCTTGTTTCTTTCTGTGCTGCTGCTGCTGCTGCTTCTGCTGCTGCTGCTGCTGCTGCTGCTGCTGCTGCTCTTCTGCTTGCTGCTTCTGCCACTGCCGCGCGTAGAGAGAACTCAAAGAGGCGTTCATTGGCGGAGCATCGATGCTGCTGCTGCTGCTGCTGCTGCTGCTGTTGCTGCTGCTGCTGCTGTTGCTGCTGCCGCTGTTGCTGCTGCTGCTGTTGCTGCTGCAGCTGTTGCTGCTGCTGCTGTTGCTGCTGCTGCTGTTGCTGCTGCTGCTGTTGCTGCTGCTGTTGTTCAATGGGCTGGTGCAGAAGGTTATGTTGCTGTTGCTGTTGCTGTTGCTGCTGCTGCTGCTGCTGCTGCTGCTGCGCTGCAGCAGTTGTTGCTGCGGTGCTGCTGCAATGGCAGCAGTTGTCCTTCTTGCTGCTGCTGCTGCTGCTGTAGCAACATAAACCCTATACCCTAAACCCTAGACTCTAAACCCTAAACCCTAAACCCTAAACCCTAAACCCTCGCGTGTGGGGCCCCCAGCACCGCCGAGAGAGAAGAAGCTGGACCTCTCAATACACCCTAAACCCTAAACCCTAAACCCTAAACCCTAGGAGTAAATTAAATAATATATTATAAAAAAATATATATCTCTTCCTATCAATTATTAGGGTTTAGGGTTTAGGGTTTAGGGCCCCGTTGTTGTTGGGGCTGAGCCGCAGTCCCTAAACCGTAAACCCTAAACGCCAAACCCTAAACCCTAAACATTAAACCCTAAACCCTAAAAAATTAAATAAAATATAGAGACTTAGCCTCTACCCTTTTAGGGTTTAGGGTTTGGCGAGAGGTTTCCAGTAACATCTCTGTGAGGGCCTAGTAAACCCTAAACCCTAAACCCTAAACCCTAAACCCTCGCCCTGGTCTTATAGTCTTACGATCGCTAAACCCTAAACCCTAAACCCTAAACCCTAAACCCTTATTCGAAAGCATCTCAACCCTAAACCCTAAACAAGAGAAAATAACCAAAACCCTAAACCCTAAACCCTAAACCCTAAACAGGAGGTGTTCTGTATTCTCTGTCTGTTGGGTGTACATACACCGCAGAATGCCTTTGTCTCTCCCCTCCTAGGGTTTAGGGTTTAGGGGGTTTAGGGTTTAGGGTTTGTGGTTGTCCTCGCCCCTACACTGATGAAGCAGCAAGAAGCGTTGTGCTGCTGCCCTCACAACAGGCAGCTGTAATATATTTACTTTTTAGGGTTTAGGGTTTAGGGTTTAGGGTTTGGGGTTTAGGGTTTAGGGTTTGGGGTTTAGGGTTTAGGGTTAGGTGAAGTTCTGGAGACACGTAGTAGCAGGTTCTAGGGTTTAGGGTTTAGGGTTTAGGGTTTAGGGTTTAGGGTTTTGTAGGGTTTGTGTGTGCAGCATGCGAGCTGCTAGAGCGCCGTAAACCCTCGGAGGGTTTAGGGTTTAGGGTTTTCTCTCCCTCTCAGGGTTTACGCATTGCTTGGGCTGCTGCAGCAATACAAACCCCAGAAACAAATATATTTATAAAGGCTAAACACTACCTGCTTGTAAACCCTAAACCCTAAACCCTAAATAAACCCTAAACCCTAACAATACAAACCCCAGAAAAAACTGTATTTATAAAGGCTAAACACCACCTGCTTGTAAACCCTAAACCCTAAACCCTAAAAGCTAGACCCACCACCCCGGCCCTCCGAGGAGGAGTCAGCTGCATCAGCTCAGGTTAAGGGTTTAGGGTTTAGGGTTTAGGGTTTAGGGTTTAGGGTTTGTGTGCAGAGCTGCATAG